TCAAATTATTACAAATTGACTTGTCATGCAAATAGATCTTCTATTTAATTTTTATAATAAATGATTTATATTTAGTAAATAAATATTAATTACAGTTGATTCTTGAATAATGTGGGGGTTAGGGACTCTAGCCACTGTGCAGTTGAAAATCAGTATAATTTTGACTCCTTACAAACTTCTTAACGACCAGTAGTCTGCCATTGAGTGGAAGTCTTACTGATAACATAAACAGCCAGTGAACACATATTTGGTATGTGTTGCATTACTGTATTATATACTATGTTCTTACAATAAAGTAAGCTAGAGAAATGAAGCTGTTATAAAGAAGATCATAGAAAAGAAAAAAATACACTTACTATTCATAAAGCTTAAGTGAATTCTCCCAAAGGTCTTCATCTTCATCATCTTCAGGTTGATTAGGCTGAAGAGGAAGAAAAAAGGTTGGTTTTGCTGTCTCTGGGTTGCAGAGGCAGAAGAAAACTCTGCATATAAGCGGACCCCTGCAGTTCAAACTCTTGTTGTTCAAGGGGTCAACTGTATTACACAGGAATTTGTGTCACTAAGAAAGTACCTATCTTTAGAACTGGGAACTCAACAATCTCTTTCTGATATCATAAACAAATGGCAATAAGAACCATAAAACTAAGCCAGTGTGCACCCATACAAATAGATTATTTTTGAAGATACCTACTGAAGACAGAAAAGTAATTGCTTTCTAAGAAGCGGAAGTTATGGTACATATTCTTATACAAAAAGGCCTATTTTTTACTTCATTCTCTGTCAGTTGGAACCTCATGAGATATACTCACTTCTTAGAACAAGCAGTGTTTTTTTATTTGCTGGCTAATTATCATAATAATAGTAATTTTGTTGGAACAAGATACTCTGTTACCAGGCTGGGCACAGTGGCTCCTGCCTGTAATCCCAGCACTTTGGGAGGCCCAGGCAGGCAGATGACTTGAAGTCAGGAATTGGAGACCAGCCTGGCCAACATGGTGAAACCCCATCTCTACTAAAATTATAAAAATGAGGCAGGCATGGGGGTGGGCACTTGTAATCCCAGTTACTCAGGAGGCTGAGGCAGGAGAATTGCTTGAATCCAAGAAGTGGAGATTGCAGTGAGCAGAGATTGGTGCCACTGTATTCCAGCCTGGGTGACAGAGCAAGATTCCATCTCAAAAAAAAACCACACACAGAGAGATACTCTATTATCATTAAGCGAAAGATGATAATAAATATTCCAATAGCCAAACTCTAGGCTCAAAAATTTATAATGAAATT